TTTTTTTTGAGATACAGTCTTGCTCTGTTGCCCAGGCTGGAGTGCAATGGCATCATCTCAGCTCACTGCAACCTCTGCCTCCCAGGTTCAAGTGATTCTCCTCCCTCCTCCTGAGTGGCTGGAATTACAGGCACGCACTAACACACCTGGCTAATTTTTGTATTTTTAGTAGAGACAGGGTTTCACCACGTTGGCCAGGCTGGTCTCAAACCCTTGACCTCAGGTGACCCACCTGCCTTGTCTTCCCAAAGTGTTGGGATTACAGGTGTGAGCCACCATGCCCTGCCATTCTTTATTCAAGAATTATGTCTGCCCTTTTCTTTTTCCCCCTCTCCTTCTGAAACTCACATATGCACATGTTGGTATGCTTGTGTCCCACAGGTCTCTGAGGCTTTGTTCATGTTTTGTCTTTCTCTTTTCAATCTGTTCCCCAGACTAGATAATTTCAACTGACCTATATTGAAGTTTGCTTATTTTTTTTCTCCCTGCTCAAATCTGGGATTGAGCCCCTCTAGTGAACTTTTCACTTTATTTTTTTGCTATTTTTATTTTTAAAAATTTAAAAAAAATTTTGTTTCTGTTATAGCATATTACACTTTTGCTCTTGTTGCCCAGGCTGGAGTGCAAATCTTGGCTCACTGCAGCCTCCGCCTCCCAGGTTGAAGCAATTCTCCTGCCTCAGCCTCCCAAGTAGCTGGGATTATAGGCATGCGCCACCATGCCCAGCTAATTTCGTATTTTTAGTAGAGATGGGGGTTTATCCATGTTGGTCAGGCTGGTCTCAAACTCCTGACCTCAGGTGATCCATCTGCCTCGGCCTTCCAAAGTGCTGGGATTACAGGCATGAGCCACCGCACTCACCCTAGCATATTATACTTTTAACTCCAGAATTATTTGGGTTTTAAAATATAATTGATCTTTATCATCTATTTGATGAAACATCTCATATTTTCTTCTAGTTCTTTAGACATGGTTTCCCTTAGCTTTTTAATATATTGAAAATATCTGATTTAAAGACTTTTTATTTACTAAGTCCAGCATGTAGGCTTCCTCAGGGTTAGGTTCTATTGATTGTTATCCTGTGTATGGGCCATACATTCTTGTTTCTTTGCATGTTTCATAACTATTTTGAAAACTGACCATTTTAAATACTATAATGTGTAACTCTGGAAATCAGATTCTACTCACTCCCCAAGATTCATTGTTGTTTCTGTTTGTTGTAGTAGTTGCTGGTTTAGTGACTTTTCTGAATTCATTCTTTTTTCTTTTTTTTTTTTTTTTTTTTGAGGCGGAGTTTCACTCACGTTACCCAGGCTGGAGTGCAACGGCGCGATCTCGGCTCACCGCAACCTCCGCCTCCTGGGTTCAGGCAATTCTCCTGCCTCAGCCTCCTGAGTAGCTGGGATTACAGGCACGCGCCACCATGCCCAGCTAATTTTTTGTAGTTTTAGTAGAGACGGGGTTTCACCATGTTGACCAGGATGGTCTCGATCTCTTGACCTCGTGATCCACCCGCCTCGGCCTCCCAAAGTGCTGGGATTACAGGCTTGAGCCACCACGCCCGGCCCTTTTTTCTTTTTTTTTTAGAGACAAGGTCTGAGTTGGTGACTCAAGGGATCCTCTGGCCTTCGTTTCCTGAGTAGCTGGGACTACACATGCGTGCCATTGCACCTAGTTTATGAACTCTTCCTTTAAAGTCTGCAATTTTTATTTTGTGACCACTCAGGTTTCTGCTCAGTTAGCTTAGTGGTCAGCTAATGATTAGAGCGACAGGTTTCCTTAAACAACTTCAACCAAAAAATCTCCCAGTCTTTTCCGAGGGGTTTAGTATCTACGTTGAGAGATGCCTTCAACAATCAGCCAAGCACTTTATATTAGGTAATTGCATTGAAATGACAAAACCACAATTACTCTGGCACCAACCAACCAACCAAATAATTGTGCCTTAGCCTTCACTTCTTGCTTCTGTAGTGCCTCACGGTCAGTGAGAGTTTAGAGCTCAGATGCTTCTGTAGTGCCTCAAGGTCAGCCAGAGGTTAGAGCTCAGGGCCTTCTCAGGCTTGAGTGTTCACATGACCCTAGGTATGTGCACACCTTAAGTACCTTCTACAGTCTCAGGAATATGTTAAGAGTTTTTCAAAGCCCTATGAACATCTTATTCCCCAGCTAAATATTTTATTATGGCTAGAGCAAAGGTGCAAAAGTTTAAGGGGTTTTTTTTTTTGACCTTTATAATGAATGTTATGGGGAGCCACTAGTGAAATTTTAAGTAAAGAAGGAGCATGACTATGTACAGCACAAAACTGTTTTGCCAATGAGATGGAGGATGGATTCAAAGGGAGCAGACTGAAGGCAGAAAGACCAAAGAACATTTTTAAAAAGTAGCCTGGGGAACATGGTGAAATTCTGTCTCTATTAAATAAATAAATATATAAATAAAAATTAGCTGGGCATGGTGGCAAGCGCCTGTAGTCCTAGCTACTTGGGAGGCTAAAGTGGGAGGGCTGCTTGAGCACGGGGAGGAGGAGGCTGCGGTGAACTGACACGGTTCCACCGCACTCCAGCCTCGGTGACAAAGCAAGACCCTAATTCAAAAATACACACATAATATAAAATAAAAAATAAGTGACAAAGGTCTGAGTTAAGGCCAAAGTGGGAGTATTTAGAAAGGGAAGTGGTGGATTGGAAAAACTGTTGTGAAGTTTATACATTTCATAGTTTCTACAGTGGTTAATTGGGAGGCCAGTGGGGAGAGGTGAAAAAGAGGCGAGTGTTTATATTCTTAAGTTTCTGATTAGGAAAATTATTTGGAGGATATTCACCCCTCCTCCCCCTCAAAAAAATTAAGTGAATAGTGAGGCATAGGTTTTAGGGGGGAAGCATAAAGATGCGGATCCAAATATTACTTATGAGTAAAATAATTTTCGTGTTTTTAGAGATATGAATATCTTAAAGGAAAAATCCAATGCAATTGTGCTACTCAAATCACAGTTTGGATCCAGGAGCTGTAATCTTTCCTCACCCTCTGCCCATTCTTGCCATTCTTGATTTAGGAGTGCTTTAAAGAAGGCTATTCGGAATACGTTTGAGAAAGTGAGAGGAATGTGGCAAACAAGCTGCCTTAAACACACTGTACCTAGACCTAGAATGTGACATGAACTTGTCAAGTCATATCCTGTGCAATTTTGCTTTTTGAAAACATAGCACAAAGTAGATCATGAGTAAAGCGTGACTGCTGATAATTACATGGAGAAATGTGAATAAACGATTCTTTAAACACCGTAAGCTAAATTCGGCTTAAAATAGGTGGTTTGAACATTTGGGAAACATTCGTTTTACTTGAAATCCAATCCTTGCAAAGCAATGACAAGAGGTGGGGATAAAGCGGGCTTACGGAAAGGAGCGTCTCACCGACCCCGTCTAATCACACCATCCCCACTGTTTTTCAAAAAATTTCTTCTCAGATAACCAAGTTAAATCTAGTTCAAACGAACCTTTTAGTTTTTGAGGAGGGCCGTTAATAGTAGTGAACACCAAAACGAAAGGGGATCTGGGCTTCGCAATACTAACAGTTCCATTTCCCAGCCAGTCGCCTCCCGGGCTGGATGTGCCGCCGTCCTACATCTCCGCGGTGGCCGGAGAGCTCAGAGGTGGAGAGAGAAAAAGGAGGCGTCGCGGGGCGCGAGAGGCCCGGGCTCTAACTGCCGCCTCACACCCTAGCAAAGACAGGAGACGCCCGGCGGCCCGCACCGTCTGTCCGGAGCGCTCCTCCAGGACACCCGCCTGATTGCTAGTCGTCTCCAATTGGCCGTCGGGGAACGGAAGCCGAAGCAGACCAGTGAACCCGGAAGTACTTCGCGGCGGAGGCCCGGGCAACTCTTTTGAATGGAATCGGGCTGATTCATCGCTGGTTCGCGGACTCAGAGCCGGATCCGGCCTGCGCCGCTGCTGCTGTTGCCTCTGTCTTCGCGTCACCGCAGAGACAAGACAAGGGTCCAGATCGCGGCATCCGGCTCCCATCCGCTGTCAGGTAAGACCCAGAAAGCAGGCCTGGGAGGTCCGGGGAGGCAGCCGTGCTAGGCCGCCGCCAGCCCAGTGCTTTCCTGAGTCACGTTGCCCAGCTGAGTTGCCACTGGAGGCCTGGGCCGCGAGGGAGGAGCCCAGACTCCTTCATGCTCTTCGCCTGCTGTTGGGGGTCTCTGGCAGGGTCAGGTCTGGATGTTGTCTCCATTCTCCATTCTTTTCAGTTTGGCCGAATTCACATCATGGGAACCTCTACTCCCTATGTAAAGAGAATCCTTGTTTATGGCCTGTTTATCTGCGCTCATCCATAGTTGTTTCTGTCTTGAAAAACTTCACAGCAGACCGGGGAAACGAGAGAGACAGAGACAGAGAGAGAGAAAGTAGAATTAACTTTCCCATTGAAGACGTTTGTTTTATCACTTGTCCTTCCTGTAAGCCTTGATCCTTTTTCTGTTAGTGTTAGGTTTTCAACTCCCTCCAAAAAATAAGCAAAAGTCTTGCAGATACACTGGTTTTTGACCTTGAATATTTTCAAAACAAAGTGTGCTGCTATGCCTGTTAACTTACTTTCAATATTGTCCTAATTGAATAATTGTTGGTGAATTGATTACATTTCCTGTATTCAGTAAAGCAGAAATCTGCTATCTCGTGTTACATCTTGAAACTTAATTTTCCTGGAGATACAGCTCTGTGTCTGTCAAAAGAAAAAGCATGTAAACTTCGATTCTATAAACTTAGTGACTGAACGAAAAATTCTCGTGAAAGTAAATGGTAACCAAAAGTTGATAAAAATTTTATGGAAAAGGCAGGGGAGAGGGTTTAAAAATTAGCGTAGAGTTTTAGTGGGAAAATGATTTTGTTTCACTGGTCACAAGTGTGTTTTTAGTGCTGCTGACTTAATGTGTTTGAGAAAAGCAGCAAGACATGCATTGATACTGTTGAAATAAAAAAATGAACACAGTTTTTGTGGAGATGATTAATATAATGATGGCCTTCCTGTCACATAAGGCTACCAACTGACTCGTTTCAAGTTTAGAAGTTAAGATATGTATTGGTTCTGAATTAACTATAGTTAAGGTGTGCTTAGTGAAGTGCTAATTAGTGAAAAGCCTGAATGTTGTCTTGAATTCGTCCCTAAATCTTGCCAAGGGAAGAAAGTTTTCAAGTTGTGACCTTTTGTTGATGCTTCACCTGTTGACTTTGGGAGGTTTTTTTTCTGCCTCAAGTGCTTGGTAAATAATATATTGCCATTTTAATTAAATAGCTGGATTTTAATCTCTTTGACAGGTTCACCTTATTTTTATACTGGCCATACAAACTATGTGCTTATTAGTATGTAGTTTGTGAACCATATGTATAAAAAACCATAAATGTTATTATTGCTGTTGTTATTGTTATTGTCATTTTAGAAGTGGAAGAGATTATTAATCTAGTTCTCTTATATCAGTAACAAGAAGCAATTGTGCTTTTTTAATTTTCAATTTTATAATAATGTTCATGTAATAATTCAGTGTCCACCTGTGAAACCCTTGCCTGAATATCCATGTGATTTATTGCTTACGAACTTGTCATATGCC